GGTTTTGAAGTCATCAAGTGTTGTTTTGAATAGAGATGTGGGTCGGGTGTTAATGCATAGCTTTAAGTCGTCCGCCTTTGCATCAAGTTAGCCCATGAGTTGGGAAGAAGGGCATCTTACTCATGTCTCGAAGCTGGCAGTAGTGGTTTTCGTTTTGGAAGTGACGGATCAAATTCGAGCAGAGGCCGAGATCACGTTGTGCAGTGTGAGGACCTTGCTTCCTTTGTTTGGAGAAGTCAATCGAGTTGAAGACGCAATCCTTGTTCTTCGATCCCGGGTGTTCTAGCTTAAGAGTTCTTTATTGTCAGTTTGTAGTTTGTAGCTTGTGCCTTAGCTAAGACGTCTAGACCTGGGTAGACCGGTGGTTGGTAATAAGTAGGGAGTTAAGTTTAAGGTAGGATTAGAATTTCTTTCCGGTAAAGCTTATATCATTCACCTTATCTTTCATTCTTGTCACACAATTGTGAACCTTCAATGTACTTCTAAATCTTACTAATCTTTCCATTTTGATTTGAATCCTCGATTATTTTCTAAATCATATCCTTTCCTTGAAGACAAGCTTCGAGGACAAAGCTTCTTGTTAGGTGGGAGAGTATGACACCCCGAAAATTCACTCCTAAAACCCGAATTAATTTCTACATTGATTCCTTGTGGCCTTACAATTTTTTTCTTAATTTCCCTTTGAAATTAGTTAAGGGACCTAGCTAGTTTGACCAAATACCTTAGCATTTTAATTTGGTCAATGGGTAGACCTTATGCTTTATTCCTTGTACTCTAGACTTTGTTGTCCTCCTAACTTGTTTTTGGAAAGAAGGGGCCCTTTTGGTCATTTAACCATTTCTAACCTTAAAACCCTACCCTAGCCAAGGCACCCCAACACATTTCAGGATTTCTCCATCTCTCTACACCCTTCTTTCTTGCTCTCCACTCCTCCTTCTCTCCAAGAAAACCCTAGAGTTCATCTTCACATTTCTTCAAGAGATCCAAGCCAAGACTCCAACTTTCTAACACTCCAAGGCTAGAAGTGGTAAGATCTATCTTCCTACACCTTTTCTATTCAAGATCTCCTTCCTATTTCTCTAAAATCTCTCTTCTATCTTGTTGGGTTTTGGGAGTTTGATGAAGATCAAGTAAGTGTTGAGAGGCTAGGTTGATCTAGAGGTGCTTGTGGTGATTTGTTGAGCTAAGAGGTAACACATGTGCTACAAAACCTATTTTCAACTTGATAATATGAATTTCTTGCTACTCTTGATGTTGTGAGTGATTTGATGTATAATCTTGTGTTTATGCATGTTTAGAGCTTGTATCTAGGGTTCATAAATGCTATTCTTTGGGTTTTTTCATGTGTTCAAGTTCTGTTATTTTTGTATGTGAGGTTTTGGATGTTTTGGACTTGAACTTGGACTTTTTGGCAATTTTCCCCGAAGGGAATTTCTTTACAGGTTCGGTACACAGCGGGGGAACGGCGGGTGGTTGTCCACCCGTGGTTCCACCCGCTGGTACACAGTGGGGGGACCCGCTAATACACAGTGTGCAAGTTCCATAGCCCGAGGGAGCATGCTCTACAACCCTATCTGTGTAGCCCCCCACTCCCTTAGTTGTGAGAATCGTCAACATAAGGGAGTAGGTATGATAGCTTCTCTAACCGGACTTAGAGCGCCGGTGGTGGCAATGCCGACCTAACCGGACTTAGAGCGCCGGTGGTGGCAATGCCGACCTAACCAGACTTAGAGCGCCGGTGGTGGTAATGCCGACCTAATCGGACTTAGAGCGCCGATGGTGGCAATGCCGACCTAATCGGAGTTAGAGCGCCGATGGTGTATACCGTATGTATAAAGCAGGGAAGAAGACATAAATGCAGCTCAAGAAGGCCTTTTATTCATGGGTGTTCTTGTATGTTGTCTAGTACATATTCTAGAGACAATGAGGGAGAAGGAGTGTAGGGAGGGGAGAAGAGGAACCCCTTACAATGAGGGCTAATGCCTTTTATATAGGACTTGACCCATTGACTTTGACCCGTCAACCCGGACTTATGACCCAAACTGTTTGACCCCGACCCAAATAGGAGCACGAAGCGTACGGGGAGGCTAAACCCGGGGTATATTCCCTATCACCTATCTTGCTCGTTATCCTTATTCCATTATCATTGTCTTGTTGGGTTGATTCTATTGATATTCTTGTGTGTTTATTGGTATTGTCGAGTACATCCCTCGAAGAGTCGAATATTGCTTCTATTCCTCATGATTTATAAAGCTAGTGTTGCTTAGTGATATACTTATGTATTCCCAAGTCTCAAAAATAGTTTTATCTATAAAGTATATGAATATGTATTTCAACACGTTGGAGTTGGGTTGCTTAGCATTATCGCTAACGGTTGTCTAACCTTATTTTTTCAGGTATGTTTAGTCGGTCCGAGAGGCGTTAGATGGAGCCCCGGTTTAGACTAGCTTACCTTTCTAGTCTTAGGTTGTTTGGCCTGTGAGCCACTTGAATATTGTTGACTGGTGAATGATTAGTTAGTTTAGCCTGTGCATCTAGGTTTGTTGGCCTAGATGTGGCATGACATTCCCGTACTATAATGTTAGCTTCCACAAAGTTTTATATCATGATGGTTAGACTTTATCTTATTTCCTAAGTTTGAATGCTTTAAATTATGTCTAGTTTTGGGGGTGTTACAGAAAAACATACAAATTGTGACGGCACAAATATTTGTGTGTATGTATGTTCGAATGGTAAGTGAGTCAGAAGCAAAGCACGACATTAAAAAGAGAGGTTTTTTTTATTTTCTCTTAGTATGTCGCATCAGAGACACAATAACAGAAGACGCATTGGTATATCACCGCACACAATAATAGAAAACCCGCACTTAAAAGGATCCACGGCTCTTTATGTACGAGGTGCGAAATGGTTAAACATGTCGGGTAACGAAAATAAGAAATAGCGTCAACAGTTAAGATAAAGTGCATTGCAAGAAGAAAACAATAATGCGAATTATTATACAGCACAAGGTAGAAGAAGAAGGACCGGAAATCCTTTTGCTCTAATGTATGCATTTTGCATGAAAAGTACTGGGAAACAACATTACTGGCGAACAAGAATTGCCCATAAAGTATATAATGCTTACAAATATAACGCAAATAAACACGAAGACAAAACGCATTTCTCAAAAGAAATGGAACACGACAAAGGTTAAATTAATACATAGTTTGAGATAACAATCAACAATCAAGCAACCATACTGATACATTTTCTTCTTTGCTTATCGGAACAATAAAAATATACATAATCGGTGTTTTTTTTTTTTTTTTTTTGCCACATATACAATGTAATCCGTGTGAACTTGGAAAAAAAGAGTCAAAATAAACAAATACGCCCAAATAGTTGTGAAATTCTGGAAAGCTCTCGTTAATAATAAGATAAGGAAAACATAACTAATTTCGAACCGGTTAGAATGAAAAGCTATGTTTTCTTGATCCACATGAGCTTCATTAATACAACAAATAAACTCAGACGAATGTACGCATAACAGTAAATGAGATGTCAGCGAAGCAAGAAGAACCTACACCGGGAAAATGCAACGGCAAGGGAGAGAAGTCTTTCTACGCGGAGTCGTCCGAGGGATCGGAACATTAGAGCACTCACGCGTGAAATTGTGAACAAAAGTTATGAAATGTTATGCAAAAGTGTAAAAAAGGACAAACGATTGGAGGAGATAAGTTATAAAAATAATTAAATAAATAAAAGGAAAAAGGCCAGGCTAAAATATTTTTAAATAACATATTTACAAGTTTCAAGATACACATCTAATCAAACTGCACAATTTGATCTATATACGTATAAAAAAAATAAAAAATAAAAAAGGAAAATACAAACAGCAAGTCAAGAAACAGTAACACATGTCAGACCTCATGATGTAATTCACTAGGAAAAGAAATAAATAAACACGAATAAATATACACGAATTTATTTCTTTTCCCAACAACAATAGTATCACCGTTGGACTCTGGCCGGCCGAAGGTCAAACGGCGACATTGGAAAGGGCAAAATAGGGCATTCCATTGGCAAAGAACACCTTTTAATGCCAACATACAAATTTTTTCGCCTGAAAATGTCTTGGGCAAAAATTGATTGAGCTTTTATATTATACACAGATACACATATTATATTATTCTAACATATAAAGTATATTATTCTAACACATAAAATACATTATCTTACCATAGAGGTCTAGAATGTCCATTATTCTAACAAATGCGTTGAACAAAAAAAAAAATTAACATCAAAATGACGTTATTTAGGATTGTGGTCTACACAACTGTGTGAACCGTAATTTGCCCAATTTGGGTTAGGACACTTGAGTTGAGTTCTAGCCTTCATTAACTTTCCTTTTGATTTAGGTTTTGAACCTTTTGTCTAAGGCGTGCATTTCTTGTCACATTATTTTACGGATCTTTTTTTTTTTTTTGGTGATATGAGGCTTATATATAAATGTAATATTTTTTATGGAAAATGTAATATTAATCAGATATAATTTGATTGTTGTTGTTTTTTTTTTTTTTTTAGAGTTACTGGCTCTATTACATTGTAGTATCTGTTCATATACTTTCTCAACCTACTGAAACACAAAGAACCAATAACGCCTCCACTGAGGCTTGAACTCATAATCTTCCAATTGGAAGTCCAACCCGGATACCATTAGACCACATAGTCCTGGTAGATATAATTTGATTGTTAATTATGAGAGAAAATGTGATCTTTTTGATAAAAATGTAATACATTTAAATCAAAATGTAATAGTTAACGGTTGAAAAAATTACTCACGAGAAAAACTGTAATACTAATAACGGGTAAATTAATTGATTATTACTTATGAGGGAAACATAATACTTATGAGGAAAAATATACTCTGTAATACTAATCATTCATAAGTTTATTATTACTTGCTAGAGAAAGTGTAATACTTATTAGAAAAAATATGATACTATTGAGGAAAATTGTAGGGTGTATGTTTGGTTCGAACATGGGAATCAGAATCGAAATCAGAATTAAATAGTTGGTAATTGGAATGAGTTTGGTGAAAGTATTTTACATGTTTGGTATAGTAGTATGGTGGAATATAATTGGAATGATTACCAATATTGACGTTTGGTTATGTATGACCCTATAATCAGAATACAGATTTAAAAAAAAAAAAAAAAAAAAAAAAAAAAAAAAAAAAAAAAAAAAAAATCAAGGCAATTGCTTAAGAGTGGCGATAAGGTGAGTAGGCAATGCATTGAGAAAGTCGATGAAGTGAGGAGTAATAAGGCTGAATTAATTGTTAGAGTTAAGGTCAACCCGAACTTGAAAATAAAATAATAAAATAATCAATTAGCCCGAAACGATAAGTCTAACAATCTGACAATGCTAGTCCGAAATTGAGCGAACTGGCCCGATTGACATCCCTATTAAAAACTCCCCACAAAAATCAAACTATTGAGCTTGTTTTCTTCTTTGGAATCGAAATGTTTGCCAGCTAGTAGTTCATTGTGAAGATTGAAGGAATAGCATAAATGATAAGACAATAGATTAGACGTCAATCTTGTGATTGAGATGAAGCATTTACGTCTTCTCCGCATTCAGCGCCACCTATTCCACAATTAACACTCTTAAATTACTTTACGCACTAAGTAAAACAAAAGGCAGAAGATACAAATATTCTACAGAAATTATGTCTCTCATTGTACATTTGTACCTAGTCTTGTCTGTTGGTAATGTAAAGTCAAGTCCTGATTACAAACAAGTGATTCTCCAAGCTAGCTTGGATAGTTGGATTCTTGACTTAATTAAGGGGTTCACATAACCTACAATACTGTAACTCATTATGATAACTATTCTCGATACTTAAAATTAAATAAAATATTGTAAGGTGTATGTGGAATTTAATTCAAAATATATTTTTAACTATTTCAATCACGATAATCATAAAAAAATTTAAAAAAAATTAAAAAAAAAAAAAAAGGCGTATGTCGGGCACAATTTTTTTTATATTGATTCGTTTCCACTTGAGGGTGCTAAGAAATTGAAGCAATGTAATATTTTTTAGATACAACAAAAAATACACAAAACTAGGGCAACAAAAAGTGGATCATATGAAATTTCCATGCATGTACTCACTTTCTTTATCTCTCTTTATAAGCAACATGGATATCTTATTAAGACTTATAAGAAAAAGAAGATATATAGAAATCCTGGGTTGCTCTCCCTTTTTAAGTTGTGTAATTGAGAATTACATCTAAAGATATATTCTCTAAGTGTTTATTGCAGATAACACAAGAAAATACGGCAACCATAAAATTAACCTTTCATCTCTCTGACTTTTATCGGTGTAAAACATGTCATCTCAGAAACTCGCTTAACTTACTCCAAGAATGAATGTACAGACATATGTGTGTGTGTAATATGCATATATATATATATATATATATATATATATATATATATATATATATATATATATATATATATGCAAAAATACAGTGTGTTAGATATAAATAATCTATACTGAATAATAATCTAACTTTATAGAAGCGGAAGCGGAAGCAATATTGATCTCCCGCCACAGTTGATGTTCTTGTTGTGTTGCCACTTTAACGGTAGACCATTAGTCATATTTTGTCTCATACTTGACTTAGAACCACATATGGTGTATTGGTGTTTACCGAACAATATGAGTATCGTAATTGAATGTGCTATATAATGAATACCTTGTATCCCATCAATTCATATTTATATTAGGCACAGAGTCTGGTTGAATAACAATTTCTAGTTATTTAATCCAACCAGACCACTTAATAAGCCTAGTCAACTTACCCCATTTAATTAAGATCCTAATATATACTATATAACATATAATATATATTATTAGGAAAAATCTTACATAGAGTGCACTGCAGAAACCAAATGGTCAAGGTTTATATATATATATTTTTTATTCTGGTCAAGGTTTATATACTTCACGTACGTATATACATTCCACCTGCAGAATTTATTTGCAGGTAAGCCGAAGAGTAAATTAACTCTTCGGTTACAATTTTTGGATTCCTACTTTTCGGATCTTAATGGAAATAACTTTTTACTTTTTACTTTTGGTAAATATTCCGAAAAGTTAAGCTAGAAGATTTAATAAAATTCTTCTTTAACTTAAAATAATATTTCAACTTTACAACTTCAAAATATTATTTAAGTAGTTTACTAATATGTTTGAAATTCTCAAACACACATTTACTATATAAATATCCAACAACTATACTATATAAATATCCAACTACAACAATAGTATAACTCATTAGTGATTACTATTTTTGATACTATAAATTAAAGAAAATATTGTAAGGTGTTCAGGGAATTTAATTCAAAATATATTTCTAAATATTTCAATCATTGTAATCACGAAAAAATCTAAGGCTCGTGCCCTGCACAATTTTTTTTAAAATTGATTCGTTTTCACTCGAGGGTGCTAAGAATATTGAAGTATCAATTTCCAAAGATATAATATACAATCAACATATATAATTGAGCACTCAAATATAAACCTTTCCGCAAACTTGAACAAAAGGTGAATACTTCAAAATATAGACGAAATGTTGGCAAAATTTTAGAGAGATTTGAGAATTGAAATTAAAATGATCTAGTCTATCATAACACAAATTGAAAGACTAAGCAAATAAGCGGAAGATTTATTAATTTTTATTATTAATGACGGTTATTACATTGAGCTTAAAGAGTTCATCAAGTAGATAATCCTTGCTACATACATTCCATTCTCAGACAAAACTACTTTGTATGGCTTAAACACCATCCGGAAGCCATGCTTGTTCAGCAACAAATTAAACTAGGAACCAAGTTATTGCGAACTTTTGGTGCGTACAACCCGTTGTTCATGGTCAGCTCAATCTCGGAGGTCATTTTCAGAACCACTTTGCCCAAGCTTCAACTGTGCTTAATTATGGTTTGCACATCAGATTCATGTTCTTTACTGCATGCATGAACTAACATTCTCAGTCAAGAATCTTACAAATTCAAGAGTAGTAAGATGAAACAACTGTTGGAAAAATAGCATTAAAATGGCATTTTAAGTGACTATTTTGTGGTACAATTATCAGTGGGGTCCACTTCCGATTTGAATCGGGTCAAAGTGGATTCGGGTTCTTCGTAGTGAGACGAAGAGATTGATATATTGTACGCTCAAAACGGATAATGGGTGAATGAGATATTGATTCTCAAAGTAGACTCATTGAGTTGGAAAAATGAAGGGAAAAGTGAGCTTTTTCCCACATTGGTTTGGAAAGAGGATTTGCCCCCCTTATATACAAGAGCTCTTTTGAAGCTTGTAGAATTGTATAGCATAGAGGCTCTCTCGCGCGAGGGGTGGGCACGAATGCCGTTCGGAAATTGGCTGGCCTGGTCTGAATACCATACGGATTTAATTTTCAATTAACTCCAATTTCAATTTTGAATTTAAATCCTGGATAATGGCTTGCTGTTTCAGATGTTACAAAGCCAAGTTTAAATAGCCTTATTTAATGCTATTAAGGTACTACATCCCTATATAAGAAGGGGTAGAGGGCAGCAGATTTTCAAAGCACATAGTGACAAGAACACACAACACAGGAAGTGTTTTCTCTCTTCAAAACTCTGCTTCTACTCCTTCTTTGCCTAAACTGTGTTCAAGGCTTTGTTTTAGTTCGCCGGGTTCGTTCATTTGGATGCTCAAACGTCGAACCGTAGCGCGTTTTATCCTGGGAAACCTAGGCCACGACGCTCCTAGCATTTTTGGGAGGTGGCAAATAAGGTTTTAAGGAAAGAGTGGTCTCTTGACTCACGCTAAAAACCCTATATCCATACACGAGCCATCTTTCCTTCTTTCGGTTTTGGATTATGCTTCTAAGCAAAAATCCTTCTATCTATTTGATTTAGTTGTGGATTGGTTTTATAATCTGAGGATTATTACTTCCAATTTCGGTTGATATATATATATAGGTATATCTTTTTTCGTAGATATATATGTATATATAATCATTGGTTCCGTCATATATATATATATATATATATATATATATATATATATATATATATATATATATATATATATATATATATATATATATATATATATATATAGGGATGCACTCATGTGTGAATAAGTGTTCAGGAGGGAAATGCGAACGAATCAGCGCACGACACGTGTCCAGATCTAATAACTTAAAAAAAACGCGGTGGCATTTTCGTAAATAATTGAACATCGAAGTGCAAGTAAAATCACTTACAAGTGCACCTACTTTCACCTATAAGTGCATGTAATTTTGCCTTGTTAGCATTCACTTTCCGCAAACATTCATGCACTTGGGTGTGCTTATAACTCTATGTGCAACTATTTATAACTATAGGTGCAACTACTTATAACTATAGGTGCACCTACTTTCACCTATAAGTGCATGTAATTTTGCCTTGTTAACATTCATTGATCTGAGTTCAGCGGGTAGTAATACTCCTGAAAACCACTCGCAAACATTCATACACCTGGGTGCAATTGCTTATAACTATGTGTGCAACTACTTAGAACTATAGGTGCAACTACTTAGAACTATTGGTGCAACTAAGTATTGATGCTCAGTGTAAATTTTTACTTGCACCTATAATACATTTTACATGCACTTGTAATACATTTTACTTGCACTTCGATGTTCAATTATTTACGAAAATGCCACCGCGTTTTTTTAAAAAATCAGTGTTTCTCATCCATTAGATCTGGACACGTGAACGGACAGAATCCATTCCTATTTCGCGTCTGGGCGAAGCGTTCGCACCTGAGTGCGATCCTATATATATATATATATATTTCGTGTGTATTTATATATTTCGGATATATATCCAATAATATTTTATATATATTTCGTGTGTATATATATAAATATTATTTTAGGGATATTAAATCGATTTTGGTTCATTATCACCAACAACAACATCTTTTGTAGTCATCTTGAATTTTTCTTACCTTTTGTTGGTGGTGAATAAGTCAATTCACGACAATAATATATATATATATATATAT